TTTAATTTAGTATTTAGTATTATCGAATTTTATCGTAATTTGTTACGATAAAAAATATTTCAAAATTGGATTACTTATAAACTRTGGGCTTCAAATTTCAAATTTAATATTAAGGTACATATTTATATATTTTTTTTTATTGCTATTAAACGAAACATCTATTAGTTGTTGCTATTAAATTAAATACAATTTTTATAATTATTTATTTATTTTTATATTTTAAATACACATTTTATAATCACGAATAGCATAGTATATTAATAACTGTATGATTTTAATTATATGTTTTTAACTATACGATTTTAATAAAATACACTTTTTTTTATAAAATTAATTTGTGCTTATGGGTTATTAAAAAGGTAATGTTTTTTTTGCGCTTATGGGATATTTATTTTTGCGCATTTGGGTTGCGTTTGGGTCATATTTTTCACTTATAGGCTACAGCCGATATTTTGAATATTCAGTTGTACTACTTTTTAGCGAGAACTAGAATCTGATTTATCAAGATTACTTGACTATTTTAAAGAAACGTGGGTTGGTAAAATGGACAGGAACGGGAAAAAGAAAAATCCTAAATTTTCAATTACAATTTGGAATTGCTATGTTGATGAATATAACCTTCCAAAAACTAATAATTCAGTAGAAGGATGGCATAATGGTTTTTCGTCCATATTAAATGCTATTCACCCTTACATTTGAAAATTTATAACAGCTCTACAAAAAGAAGAAAAACTAAACCGTCTGGAAATGGTCCAATATTGGACTGGAGCAGAAACACCTAGAAAACGAAAGAAATATAATGACACCGCTGAGAAAATAAATACAATATGTAAAAATGTAATAATAGAACATATTTTGATCCCTATCTGGGATAGCTCATAACTTATAATTATTTTCACATATTATTTTTTAAAACTTATAATAATTATTGTCACGTATTATATTATTTTTACGCATATTATTTTTTAAACTTATAATTAATTTCATATATATTATTTTTACACGTATTATTTTTTAAGAATTAAACTTATTTTCATATATTATATTATTATTTACACATATTATTTTTAAAACGACCAATTAACTGTACCCCGAAATAATTATAAGTTTTCGGAACAAAATTGTATACATGTACGTAATAAACACACCGTGTGTTACACACACCCTATATTACACACACACACGTCACACACATACACAAGCACGCACGTGTCCTATGTATAAATATATTACGAATGACGAATCTGTTATTATTCAAAATGTAAATGACATTTTCGATGCAACATGGAAATGCCTATGTTCGTTTAAATGAAATTCAGTGCAGTGTAATATCCATATCCTTGATGGTGTTTTTAAATAAAAAACACACACTTTTTAATCGACTCGTTCCATATTTTTCGCTGCAGGTTATTACGCCCACGGGAAAAATTATTATCTCTTAGTTTTTCATTGTTTCTAACAGTACTTGACAAATCTCTATTTTCTGAGCTTTGTAATATTAAAAAAAAAAATTACAAAGATGTATAATTATTATGAAAATTAAAACACAAAAAATATTACATTTTAAATAAGAAAAAATAAATATAAACAGTGGCTTGCTACAACTTACATCACGGAAGCAAAATATTGTTGTTATGGTATTACGTGTATAATATTATGATATGCCCGTTTAACTATTCGTTTGATATTTAATTGATAATAACATTATTATACTATTTAACGGTTGATATCAATATATTATACGTAGGTTGTTGGAAGTGTTTTTCGGTTTTTCGGTTTTTTTTAATTTTTGAATGATTTATAAATGTCTAACATATTACAATTTACCATTTTAAAATGCTTAAAATAACAAAATAACTTTCTTCACATTAAATTATGTGATATGAATGTTTTAAATGAATTAAGAGTCAATGAATTGATACACAACACTTTTATAGGCACTTATAAGTAATCTAGSTAGTTAATGAATATCATACTTTCACTTATCATACTACATTGATTTCGTTCAAATTAACTTTACTTTAGAAAATATATTTATCTATAAAATTAATTATATTAATAGAATTATATTTTATAGAATAGGTACTAGCAACAGCAGTTATAAATATTTTTTCCCTTTTAATAAAAAATAATCCAATGTRCATTATGTTTCTTATTTTAAATTAAAATACTATTTTTCGACTGACGCTTTTACTTATAGCTTTATTAAGATGGTTTAATTTTACTCAAGTAATTTTTACTGTTCAGTAATGATTTTTATTCACATTGGCATCTTCTTGGTTATTGCCATAATGACTGTCTGCATTAATAAATAATAAATAAATTTCCAAGCAATATGTCATATTTTATGTAAACATTAAAACGAATATTTTGCGGAATCATGGCAACTACGTGCTAATTTTTGATACAATGTTTTTTCTTTTTCGATCTTAACAATTTTGGTGAGTGATATATTTTGGTAACATGGGTTAAACGATAAAACGCATTTTTCTTAGAAAATGTCGAATATTTACCTGGGCAACAGCCATACAAATGCATGCTTATGATACCTATGCTAACTTTAAGTCGACATATTTTATGTTTTGAAATATTGATATTTAACTCTGGGTTGGAGGGTGGTGTAACATAACGTAACCCTTGACTTTTTTTTATAAATATCTCAAAAACATTGTGTTAATTTTGAAAATCATCATGCAAATTAGATGCTAATTATTTTTCATATTTTTAAAAAAAAATTCATTTGGATTAATGACTGTGTGGCGTTACGTCACTTGCAGTTTTTTCAACGTTATAATTTGTTATTAAACCATTTTTAAATAATGTAAACTTAAGATCCGGAGTTCTAGAATAATGGTGTATGTAGAGTGTTTACGTAAAGTAAAGGCTAAATTTGATAGATAATTTAATTTTAAATTAAACATTTTAAAATTGAATTTCATCTTAGAAAAAAAAACTAAATCATTATGCAAAGGATTGAGGTAACATATACGTACATAATTTTTAATAAGGATTATAATTTCTATACATGTAACTAGAAAATTATTTAAAATATGACTTATACAACCTGAAAGTAAAAAATAAACATTATAAAAATAACAGTTAATCCACATGAATTTTCTACATCAGGGAACAGTTTTATTAAAAATATTATAAAATAAATTTGTAATATATTAAAATTATCTTATTATAATTTTTAGAATCTGGTGAGTGGAACATTTTTTTGTCCATATACAAAAATAAATAATTTGATTTTCAATTTAAAAGAAGGTTTCTTGTGGCAAATTGTATCTATAATTAGTATACTTGAGTTGTTAAAATAGAAAATTACTATAGTAGTTTTGAAAATCGATTGGAAAAACAAATACAAGATGAGGAAAATTCAGAATCTTTAATGTAAAACCAATTTTCAATAAACTCAATTTTGTTTTTTTTATTGTCAAAGGTAAAAAAAATACCTCCGTCCTCCAGGATTTATCCAAACTTACAAATTAAATATAAATTATTAAGTAATTGTTAGTTGTCACATTGATGGAAGAATAAAATATAATTTTAAATTTATTGAATAAATGTTATTTCTATATCACATTTAGCTATTTAAGAAATCTTTATATTTAAATTGATACCTAATCAAAGATTTTAGTATTATTAATTATTAACATTAACATGGTAGACGTGGCAAAATGGGTCATTTAGTACTTTGAAGGGACTTAAAAAATATCTAATCTAATTTGCCAAAAATATAATTTTTCATTTAATACTTTAAAAATTTATAAGCTTTTATCTTCTAACTTTTTTATATTCATTAAGAGTATATCGTATAAAGTAGGCTATTTAAATTCATTATGCAAATAGCATAGGTACATATAATATGAAATAGCATTTTTTAGAGTTTTTGTGGGTTGTACAATATTACATAAAGAAAAGTAAATCATAGGTACTACAAGAATGAAATTTATCAAATGTAATGAATCCGATAATTTTACTCTAGCACCAGTAAGATGAAATTGTTTTTAGGATTTCATATAATTTAATTTGGGCTTCAAAAATGGAACAAAATAAAATACTTAAATTAAACTAACACTGCAGGGTTGGAAAGCATGAATTTAAAAATTACTGGTAGCAAGATATTATGTACGTATTATAATAGTATGTCTCTAATTGATATTGTTAAAAGTGATAGTTACTACAGAAAATACTTTTAAAAGTTTATAAAAAATTACAACGTAATTATTCAAAAAAAAAAAAAAAATATAATTAACCTATACCTATTATTATAATTTCAAAATCTTTATCATAAATTTCATATCTTCTGTGGTTATAATAGCGATTTTGTTTTTAACAATTAGTCGGTAATATAATATAGTTTTGTTCATTTATAATTTGTTCTATATAAATTTATAATGGTTTATAATGTTATATAAATTTACGAACGTATTGTTATGTTAATTTGGGTCTCATTATCAATATAATATGACAAAATTGGTTATCAATCTAATAGATTAAAAAATGTCGCTTTAAGTATTTGTTTGTTAGATAATAAAATAGTAATACATTCTTTGTTGAATTTTGACAGAGGCAATATCAAAGTTCATTTCTCTGGAACCTGTATATTCATATTTTTTCTGTAAGTTAAACATGCCTTGCTGCTTTGCAGTCAATCCACTATGTCAGATGAATGTGAACATCGTGCTGTAAGTAATCGTGATATGGATGATACAATATATCTTTATATACGTTATGTATATGAAATCGGTTTGTGTAAAGTAACTCGTGTTAAATAATTGGAAAGTCATTCAAATCTGAGACGCAGTTTAAATAATATCATGTCTGTTTTTTCTTGGAATTTAACATATGAAAAATATATATCAAATAAAAATCTATAACATGGTAAAGGAGTTGTTTCGCATTAAAATCCTTTTTCAGAAGTGTTTGGCCGACTTTCCGATTAGTTAACACGCTGTATTATAATATATACACCTAAGTATCACACAGACGAGGACCTAACGCCGGAAAAAGAGTTTGCTGCAGCATCCCATCGCGTAACAATTGGTGTTGTCGCAGCCGACATTTTTTCGCACTTGTTGCCGCAACGATTCGATGAATTCAGCTGGTAGCGTGTGTACCGCCGGGTCGCCGTTATCGAACACTCGCGTGTCAGGGCGAATTTGAGACGGATTGTGGCCTCCACTCCGCTGAAACGGACAGGGTGATTAATATTAGGTACTATAGTTTCCTAAGCACTCGATCACATACAATTTGGTATTTAACGATTTAATAAAACAATATTATTGCATCTTTCTAGACTCAAATAAATACAAATGTAATGCCTATTGTTATAGTTTAAGAATTAAATATTAATTTTTGACTACAATTTGTAATGGGTATGACAAATCGGCCACCAGTTGATTATTACTGCGTTAGATGATAAATCACCGTTTGCATTCACATTTTTATTTAAGCTATTCATTTCAGTGAGCAAAAAATATTTTAAAGGATTATGGTGTAATAATGTGTGCACTGTGTCTCAAAATGTAGAGATGAGGCTTAAATTAAAATAACAGGAAAAAAAAGAAAAACAGAGAGAGTTATTCACAAAACTATAACTAAATTAATTAGATTTTTTAATGTTATACTCTTAAATTATAGATACTTGAAACTTTCAGTAAAATTAAAATACAAAATACAAAATTAAGTTTTCAAATTGTTTTGAATTTTGGTTCTCTTTAAGCAATGTAATTAACACTTGAAATTTTTGATTTTTTTTCTTAAAAATGTAATACAAGGTTTCTGATAATATTTTTTATACTAATTTAAAAATATAAAAACTTCATACTCAAATATTTTTATAAGCTTTAAAAGTTAGAAAAAATTCTTCAAAACCACTAACTATGTTGTAGTCAAAAAAATATACAATATTAAATTTTATGAAATTTTTAAGGATTGACAACGGAATATAAGATTACATTTAAGTTTTTAATCGTAGAACTAAGAAATATAAACAATTAGGTGTAAAGATCAAATTTTGATGAAATAGATATTTAATTAATGACGATAGCGATTTTACTAAATTTACCGTATTCAAAAATATTGATCAGGGTTATTTGAAACTTTTACGTATCTACGTCCTACATATACTATTATTGTTATATTTTAAATAAATACCTACACAATGACATTTTCAAAACATTGAAATTAATTTTATGCTATTGTCAATTTATAATCATTTAGACCGTAATATCAATAAATAAATAAATATAATAATACTTATAGCAAATTATGATTTATATGATACCTTATAGACTGACATACCGTCTTCGATTAGAATCGTTTTTCGTTGCAAAAATTCAAATTTAATAGATCCATTGGAGAGACCTAATTGATTAAGATTATAGCTATCTATTTTATCCCTTTTAAATAATTAATATTTTAAATTGGTTTTCACAAATTGTTGTTATTTTAAACAATAAAAAAAATAATATTTTTATACTTAATATAAAAAATTCAATTTGCTACACTTAACTACATAAAAAACGGAAAAAGAACTTTTTAAAATTATATTATCAATGATTAAGTTCCTATTTTTGAATACAGTAATGAAAATTATGTGAGTTGCGATCGTTACGTCCTTAAGGAATGAGATGCAAATGCAAACCATGGACATGAAATATTTCCCTTCGCTTTTCAGGAGTTAGAACAAACAATACCATTGTTTGTACATACACTATTCCAAATTGTTAATTTTGATTAAAAATTTAACTATTTTACGAAAGAAAAGACTTATATAATAAGTCTTTTCTTTAGAATTTTTTTTTTTTAATTTAAAAATTATTTTATCACCTATTATTTATAGTTAAGGTTGTGGTACAAAATATTTACAATTTTGAAAAATGTCTTGAATTAATTCATTATCTTGTAATTCTAATCATTTTTGATACTACTAAACATAACGTTAAGATAACATTTATTAAATTTTCATCTCCTATAGGTATATATAAATCAAAATCCTTGTCAGCAACTGTTAAGTCAAAAATAATGACTTGGAGAATTTTATCCACAACAAGTATGCAGTAAGTTATAAACTTACTGTATGGCCGATGTAACGACGACCACGACGACGACCATACATTTCTTGTTCAGTGTTACAGAAATTGTGTCCCATTCCATAGTCTGCTCCCGACCTCATTCTCTTCTCTTCGCAAGAAATAATAACAGTTTTTCCTTCATGAGGAATAAATTTTGATATCTTGTTCCGCATGAGCCCACTTTTCCGTTGCTTAACCACATCCCTCTCTCTTGTCTTTAACTTCTTTAGATGTTCATTTTSTGGTTTAACGCTGCAATTTTAATATTAAATAAACAAAACCCCTTTATGATATATCATTCTCTGACACATTGACACTTGTTTAAATTATCCAACGCATCGCAACCAAATAATTCTTACTCTAATTTTTCCATTTCTTTTTCTAACTCTTCTTTAGTGGATTTTTCCAACTCCAACGAGTCTTTTAGAGTTACGAATTGTTTTTTGCATTCTTCCAAACATTCGCACATCGTTTTTAATTTATTTTCTTCGTCACAAATTTTTGAATCTTTGCATTTTATAGCTTCGTTTAGTTTTTCTATTTCTTTTTTTAGTCGATTTTCTATAACAATTGCACACATACATTTTTCAATACAATCGTTCATTATGTATAACCTATTTTATGTAAATATATTAATGTTAATGTACTACCTCTTTCCCGGCAGCATTTTAATTCCTTTTCCTTACACAAAACCGTTTCTGTACATGATTTTAAACGTGCGGTAACGTCATCCATGTTTGTTTTGTATTGCGATGTAGCCTTATCGAAACATTCATTCATTTCCATCTCCTTTTTGCAATGTTCAGCTTGAATTTCACTTATTTTTTGTTCTGCGTCCTTTTCATATTGTTCTAATAGTTGTTTCGACTCGTCCAGTAGACATTTTAAATTTTCTTTTTCCATGAAATGAGTGATACAATCGCATGTGGTCGTGAGTTTCGATTCATCAGAACGCAAACAATCGGTTGAATTACTATCCAACTGTGATGTTGTTTCTAGTGGTGGTGTCTCACATGGGCATTTGCAACTGTCATTTGATTCACATGTGCCAAAGTCACATTTATTGGCGTTATATGGTTCGGGGCAGCACAAGATGTTATTGTTTGGATAGGATTCCTCAATAATTACTGAAACCGTTTCACAATGGGCTATAGGTGGACAATTTTCTGTACAACATAAATTTGTCTGTACACCAATATGAGTAGATTCCTTTGACATTTTAATCGAATAAGTGTTTTCATAGTTTATTCCGTTTGCGTCATAATTAGTAACATTACACGATGCATTTTCTTCACCAGGAGAACTGTAAATATTAAACAGTACTTAGATATTACATAATTGATTGAAACAATAAAGTAAAATATCAAAATAATTAAGATTTATGCAAAACATAAACATCTCAGTATTTCACGGATTATAATCAAATATTAAATAAAAAAATGATTTGTCGTTCAATGTTTATTAAACAATATAAAATCAGCCAACATTATTGGTCTTACAAAACTGTACACGAGTAAAACATTTATATACATATTTATTATTTATATAGATTTACTAGTAAGATTATCCGGCTTTGCCCGTGTTTTATTTTACACGAAAATCTAATTATTTTTAAATAAAAAATTGCTTTAATTAAATAATGATTTTTAATTAAAAATGATCCTATACATTTATTTAATACGTTCATTATATATATATATATTAATTATATAATTGATAGGATCTTTAATTAAGTAATATACTAACAACAAATCGTTTGAAGTTTTTTAAATTTATACACTCTTGATTTAGCATGTTCAGAGTTTTATTGCAGTATATGCAGTATATATATATGCAAAACTGATAAATCGCCAGATCTTCCAACTTTAGTAAATTCTACATACAGTTATCGATATAAGAAAGAGTTATTTTTAAATTTAATCTTAGACTAAGCTTTTAAATTAAGCTTAGACTTTTTTATTGAAAAACAAACTTTTATTTAAAACTTAACTAAAATGCCTCTCCAAAAAACCATAACATACTTATAACCCCCTCTTTAATATGTTTCCATGTAAGTATATTTATCAATAAATATTATTTATTAGGTATAAAATAACTATTTAAATCAAAATTTCAACGATCCCTTAAAATAGATAAGCCCCAGTGCTCCGGGCTCACCCTTTATAATAATGATTAATATCATTAAATAATCAATCACTTTTTTTAACACAAACTAAAAATTACACAGTAACTACTGCGAACATAAATAATATGATAAAATAAAAATAACCAGCAGTAGTCTCCTATCTGTTTATCATCAGCTGATTTCTCATACTGGCATCCAGCAGATATACAATTTGGCTTTATCGATTGCTGCATTTCACAGTTCGTAGACAAATAGTTGACCATATTACTATATTTCTGACTGATTTTTTCTTTTGGATATATTCTTTCGTTCAGTTTCAACTCTGCATCCTGAAGTTTTTTTTCCGTACAAGTCAAATTGGCACATGTTTTGTGTAATTTACATTTAATGCCACTCATCTCTGAATTCAAATTGGAAATTTCTTCATCTGCTTTCGTTAGTTTTTCTTTATATACAACTAAATCTTTTCGCACACACGATTCCTTTTTTCTGACGCTTATTAGTTCATTATTCAACTCATCGATATTTTGACTCTGAACATCATTTTCTGCTCTTAAATTATTATTTTGACATGTCAATTCATTATTTTTTTCTATTTTTTCTTCAAGTTGTTGTTTTATTACATTTAAATCTCTACATAGCGTTAAAACATGTTCTTTATTTTCTTCATTTTCTTTATTCAATTCCAACTCTCGAGTTTGTAACAACTTAAGCATCTCAATAGATTTTGAAAGTTCTTTTTCATTAACCAGGTATTTTTTTAATAATGAATCATGTTGGCGTTTATAATGATCAAGTTCAGTTTCTAAATTCTCAATATCAGTTTTCAATAAACCAATTTTATTTTCAAAACATTTTTTGTCTTCGTCATTCATATTTTTCAAGATTTTTTCAGTGTTTTCAGTATCTAATTGAGCAGTGGCTAATTCGTTTCTTAATTCTTGAACGGTAAAATATAGATCTTCAATTATTTTATTAAATTTTTTTTCTGCATCACATTTTTCTTGGTTTAGATCATCAATTTTCACGATATGTGTTTTGTTTTGTATCTCAAGACCTCTAGTAACGGCTTCAAATTTGTTAATTCGTTTACAGAGCTCTTCGATTTCAATACAATATTTTATGTTATTATTAATTTCAATTTCCAATTTGTCTTTCAAGTCCATGTTTTCTACATTCAGTAGTTTACATTTGTCTTGAAAATTAATGTTTAATTGTTCCGTTTCTTTTAACTGCTTTTTCATTTCAATTAAATTATGTTCTAATCCATCTACAATTGTAATATTGTCTTTAAGTGTATGTGTTTTTTCACAAACTTCATTTTGTATGAATTCATCATCGCAGATTTTTACATTTGAACTAGATTTAATGTTGTTTAATTTTTCTTTCTGCTCTTCAAATTGGTTTACTAATTTTTCACAATCTACAGCCTTGGAACACAATTCTTCATTTAATTGATTTAATTGGTCCTCCAGATTTGATTTCTCTTTTGAAATTTTTTTCAACTCATCTGCCATTAAAGTTAAATCTGAATACATTGATAATATCTCAGAATCTTTTTTTTTTGACAGATCTATTTCTTTGTTTAATTTGTTCATATAACATGCAAGATCATTTTGACATTGTGTAAGTTCATTTTTACTGATGTCATTATCTTTAATTAAACTGCTAATATTCGACTTCGATTGTTTTAATAATGTTAAGATTGAAATACTTAACGTTTTTGAATTGCAGTAGTCATCAATTGCAAGCAGAAACTCTTGTACATCTCCATACTGACCTTCACTGACATGTTCTACTGAGTTATCTTCCTTTAATTTATCTTCGCATGGACATTTTGAATCTTCTTTGCATTTATCTTCACATGAACATTTTGAATCTTCTTTGTATTTATCTTCACATGAACATTTTGAATCTTCCATTAAACGATCCTCACTTGAACATTTTGAATCTTCCTTTAAACAATCCTCACTTGAACATTTTGAATCTATCTGTGATTTATCTTCACACGAATTTTCTGAATCTACTGACAGTTGTTCAGATTCGAATTCAATACTCAAATTGCATTTACAAATATTTTCATTTTTACAAAATTGATTTTGATATTTTCCAATAATCAACTCTAGTTCTTTCTAAACATTACATTAGATTTTATTATTTTTTTAATATCCTATAATATGAATTTACACTATAAAACAAGCATGCCTGAAATTGTTCTATTTGTTCATCGTTCAAATGTTTCAACATGCTAATATCACGAGTTTTTGTACACAACTTACATTTTAACCATTCTATTTGTTTTAAATAATAATTTTCACGTTCGATTCGAGTTTGGAGAGCTTCAAAAATACTGTAATGATTTATAAAACATTATAATATTTTTAAGTGTAAATATAGTATTAAATATTTGATTACAGTATTCCAATAGTTTTACCTGTTTTTTCTACCTTCGAACAACTTTTTATTTGTTCTTATAGTTAGTTGTAAACGTTCGTTCACTCTTTTTAAGTACAAATTTATATTAAATAAATTATTATATTTCACAATTAAATAATTGTAAGTGCGTAAACACTCCACTTCAGTATAACCGTTCATTGTAATTTATTAAAATTAAACAGGTTGAAATACGTAAAAATACGTATGACAATTTTTATTTAAAAACGATAAAATCTAAAAAAACGAACATATTTTAAATATTATTCCATATTGTATACTAGTATCTATAGAAATCAAAACCTGTAATACTTTAATGTACTTTATTGAAATAAATGTAAATAAAAGTAAACAATGAATGTTGAATTATATTCAACAACTTAACTAGGTTACGACAACATTTATTTATGTTATACGGTTATAAATATTATTGACAATTCATAATTATTTTGTTACATTATATTTTATATATTATAAAAATGGATTTCTGTCTATCTGTTTGTCTTTAATTCATTACTAAATGACTGGAATGATTGCGATGAAATTCGGTGAGAAGATGTATTAGACCTATGGTCAGAAGATAAGCTAAGTTGTAAAGTGATAGGTCCAACCCTGGGAGGTGCTCAAACATTACAATATTTACGATGGAAATTTGTTTTATTTTATTAATTAATTTATGCGTCAGAAAAATGTATTTGTTTACGCACCAAAAGGAAAAACAAAAAATATTGTGTACCTATTAAAATGCATCTCAATAAATTTCATTAATATAATAAATAAATAACATAAATACCACATGAATGCCAGACTTTTCTCGATAAAACGAATAAAATTACATAATGATAAACTAAATTGAATATCGTTATAAGATTTTCACTTAATATATTTAAACTGTTATCTATCTATATGTTTAAAAATAAACTGCTAGTACAATCACAGGTAACGAATTTAACACCCAGTTAGAGGTAGGATATTTAATGGTCTACGAAGTGCACGAGTTCAGCTAGTTAATATTTTTAATACGAGTATTAGTAGAAAAAGAGAGGCAAAAGAATACAAATATAATATATAAATTAAATAATATTCAAACATAAAAATAATTATACATATAGCAAAATAAAGCTTGAAACCGATATTGAATAGTGGCTAAAATCTTCAAAAACTGAAAAAATATCATAACTGTATGTGAAATTGAAAAATAAATACTAGTAGTCAAAAGAAAAATAGAAATCGGGAAAAAAATGTTAATATTTTAAACCAAAATCATTATCAGAAAAAAATATMAATACCTATCTGAAATTGAATTCAAGGTTGAAAATCATGACATGCAGTTATTAAAAGATATATTTATTTTCAAACAATTTTAATACATGCATTTTTGGTCAATTGGTAAGTCAAACAATTTAAGTAATTTCATTTATCACAATTGATGCTCAAATATATAATTTTAAATATTTCACTATTATATAAATTTATCATGTGAGTATATACCTAATAATTAATAATATTCAGCAGATCGAAGTTTCAAAAGATTTAGATGTTATATAACTCAGTTTTTGAGTTGGAAAACAAAAACATATGTATGAGTGGTGAAGCCAAGATTGACATGTATCAAAATATTTGTTTAATGATAATTTACATGATTTATTAATATAAATAATATTTTAAGAACTTACATTTTAAAATTTTTAGATTCTGAACGAAGTGATGAATGTATTGACTTTACAATGATGTGTGTGTTTTTTGTGTGTGTGTGTGTGTGTGTCTGTGTAAGCATAACTAGTCGAAATAATGCTTAATT